ACATGGGAGAGGAACAGAAGAGGTATTCAGCAGAGAATGCCAGAAGGCATGGACTCCTTTTGGTAGGCAAGGCTGTTGGCTTTAATTGTATATATTTTCTTGGATTCTCACCTTCAGAAAAAATGCCAGTTTGATCTCGCACAGTATTCACTACCCATATTTACATCCTATTGCCTGGGGCCCATGAAAGGCAAACAGGCATTTTTCTTTCAGTCAATTCCTATCTGAAAAATCTATATGGCTTGAAAGACTTCTTAAATAACAAATCTGCATTTATCCTTGAAATTTTTTAAAAAGCAAAAATCAGGTGATTAACCTATAGCATTGCCCCTGAAAAAAGTCTCAAAAAGAAAACTGATTTCTACTCTAGGTGAAGTTCTTTCTGAAACACAAAAATATTAAAGAATTAAGAATTTGGTATATAGCTGTGAAGTCCTACACATGATCTCCACTTCCCTGTGAAACAAGCCACTACATTACTTAGACTCTGCTACACAGCAATTTTATCTGAAATACATAGCTCTTTCTTCCAGTCCCCTGAAAATATGCAAGTGTGAAAAAGAAGCAGATAGGAACCAATCCACTTCAAGGGAAATGCAAACGGCATAGTGGAGTAAAGGATCTGCACTGAAGTAGACAGGGCAGGAACAGTTTACACCAGCCAGGAATCTGCTCTGCATCTGCAGACCAATTTATGAAAAAAATGTGATACACCATACACAGACCAGATGCACTAATGTTGTGTAAGGCAAAACCAAGCTCTGCTGGGCATGTTCCAACATTTCTACACCAGATTTCACGGCGCACAAAAAATTACTTCATGTGAATGAAAATCTTTTTTAACTGTAACCTCTCTGCATGGTTTGAAAGTGCTACTGTGGACAAGGTTTTCAAAGGCCACCCAACAAGCAATGCTCAAATGTATCTTCTTCACAGGGTAGCATATGAATAGCACATTTCAGTTTTAACAGACTGAAAAATCATTATCCACAACAATATATCTGAGACCTCAGACCAATTTTCTCAATAAATGCATTCCTTGAAAATTACTATTTTTGTTCAAAAGATATATTTTTCTTTTGAGATAAGATTTTTTGTGATATCACAGCAATTAAGAAAGAACAATCTGGATTTTCTTCTTTTAGGAATGTCACTACATTCTTATATCTTTTAATAAACAATAATTTGTTAAAATTATTGTTTTTTTCAATTCCAAGAACTCGTTCTCTTAAACTACCTGAGGAAAGGGGGACTTGATGAAGTCCAACAAACTTGAAAAGTCCTTAGCAAGTAATGTGGTGAATGTGATGGACTTCTATCTAATTATTAACATGCTGTTTGGAAAAAATTTTTTCAGAGGTGTTCAATTTCTTCAAAAGTGATCTGAAACAAATGAGGAGAGAAAAAAGGTTCACCAGAGGCAATGGCCACAATCAAAGAACCATATAACAAAGCTCAAGAAATCAGAAGAAAACTTGATTTCTTTATACACATTCTAAGAAAAGAGATAAGAAAGCAAATGTCAACATGCAATGCTATTTTGAATTACCAAACACTGCCACCGTGTGTTCGCTTCAAAGGCTATCAGGCTGCTTGAAAACCACTAGATAATAAGTATTAAAAGATAAAGTAAATAAAATTTGTTGCTCTATCTCTTATGTACAATGTTTCTGTATTACACAATAGTGATGACAACTCCAAAAATATTTTTAAGTATTTTTAGCCACTTGTTCTTACACATTTGTATAAGAACACATGGTCCTGTTTCTAACCACTCCTATCACCATTGCAGGGAGCACTAACAAGAGAATGACAGAGAGAAAATAGTGGACAAGCTTTGTTTTCACACAGAGATGCATGCCATAACTGATGTTTCATTGTGCTTGTGCAGTGCCCACCCTCAGTAAACTTCTAGTTCCTCTTGACGGTCCCTAGAAGGTACCAAAACCCACGAATGTTCATACAATACAACATACTTATTTCAGAGATTGTTTTTTCTTCAAATCTTTATGTGTATGAACAAAAACATTCATATAATGATGTAGACAGCAGATTCAGAGGACTTTCTACAACATTAACTTTCACTAGTTCTAATGTAAGCAGCAAAGGATCCCCACTCTTACTTGAAAACTATATCCATTCCAATTTGAATTATGAGCATTCAATTCCATATTATTTAACACAATCTCTCACCTGAAAACTCCCCTTGAGGTGGAAAGTAGGTAGAGGAACTGCATCTCACTACTGAAAAGCAAAAATTATTAGAGATGCTTCTCTTCTCATTTAGATGAGATATTCAAGAAGCAGCAAAGAAATCCCAGTGACTTCGCCAAAAAAGACGGATACCTGATTTTCTTTCATGTTTTCAAAACTTCTGTCATAAATTCTCTGAGCTGGGATGCCTTACATTAGCTTGTAAGATCAGGAAGTATTAGAAACAAATTATCAGCTATTTTTAATTAATATGTACACACACACACATATACACATAAATTGATTAATTGAACTCAGAAGAACTGACTGAAGAATCATCACACTCTCATCACCATTATCCAGGTAAACAAAATATTTCAACCACCTTCCTCAGAGGATGCTGCAGATTCCACATCTATGTCTGTATAGGTTCAGAGAGTGAATACCAGCTCCAAGAAAATGCAGACAGACCTCAGGGAGCAAGGCCAACAATTGAAACAGACACAAGTAACACCTGGGTGAAATTCCACATTTGCAAGAAAATATTCTTTGGTACAATTCTAGATATTTTAAATTTCAAGAATGAAGGAATTTTTAAAGACTGAACAACTACTTGAATGCCTAATGGATGCGTATGCAGTTTTGGACAGCTCAGCTCCAGAATTAATTCCCTTTAGGACAACAAAAATCAGAACAGTTGCATTTAAACATGATGTGTTTTGTCTGTATTTCTCATGCATGTAACCACTGAATGTCTTTGGTTATTCCAAGCTTCTTTTGCTCTCAGGAATATTGCGTGTTCAGTCAAAATTCAGTCTAAATCTTAAAACTCAAAGTGACTCCAAACAGATCGCAAAGATGAATAACTAGAGAACTCATTTCAAGTAACTGTTAAAAGGACGAGCCCCATGATCTTTACCATGTCTCTTGCCATTTGTTCTTCAATGTGCATTGTAGAATATACGCTTATTCTGCAGCTCCATTCTGCAAGTCTTTTCACAGCAGGAAGAAACCGTAAGCGCCACATGCAGCTCTACTAGCAAATGACAGCATTAAGTCAGAATAAATTGGATTGTCCCAGTCTGTTCCAGATTTGTTTAACAATAGATGGTAGCAGCGTTCCCATCAGAGAGCTTCAGAGGTAGGAAAACAAACTGGAAAAGCATCTTTGACAAAACTGCCAGAAGTCCATCATGTTTCTTATTGCAGACTTAAAGCAGCAAATCACATCTATGGCACTAATTAGTAAAGGAGAAACTGCCAATGTGCTCCATCTTAGCTAAGAGCATATGAAGAGAATAGCATGCAAGATGATTTTAGCAAAGTTTAAATACAGGAACAAAAGGAGAACTTATGTTGTTGGAAGTATGTATCTGTGGCCTATAAGGTGCTTTTCAATCTATGAACATACTTTCAAAAGGAGAACGCGTGTCAGGTGTTTATGTACTTTTAAACCATGAATCAGAGTTTTAATTTCTTGATCTCTTTGCTACAATAAATATGTAAAGCTTAAATAAATTTTTTGCCTTACAATACTTATCACCGTCAAAGCGTCATCACCGAGCCACACTTAGCAGAAGTTAACACATTTGAGCAAAGTCAATGAGTACAAAATAAGCCTCCAAAAATATTAGGATTTGTCAATTCAGGTGTTGAACAAAGCTGAAATCTCAGATGGTGGCTCATAGACTACATTTGGCTCATTATTCTCTATTCCTAGTTTTTATCTAGTTCACACCTTCACATTGTTTAGTTCCACAGCAACAAAAAAAACCCTTGGAAAGCAACACAATTAAATTTCAAACACACACAATATATTGCAAGAGTAGCATAAAGGAAGCAATATGAGCTCAGTTTACATTCGCCCCTCCGCCCCCCCCCCAATAAGCCAAACCAGTAATTCTCTCACTGTGATTTCCACTCAGGAAATGTTGCAAAGAATCTTATTAAAATGTAACTTGAATCTCTAATCCTTTGTAGAGTCAAACATTCTCCAGACGTTACCCTCTGGTTTTACTCTCCATAGGAGAAAGCAAATGGATAGAGATTGGTGGTCTTCTGTGAATCTGTTCTTCAACTGATGCATTCCTTTGAAATTCTACTCTTTGGGGATGAGAAAGGGGGAGAATTTATTTTGAAACAATAAATTACTCGAATGAATGTTGTGTGTAACAAGAGGATAATTTTTTGAACCACAATAAATGTGTATCTGTGAGTGTGTGCATGTGAGTTTTCACATTTAATCTGCAAGAAATTCACTCACTCACTAACCAGGTATGTATTGGGAATGAGCAGATGAAATTAAACAAAAGAAACACATATTGTGCAAAAGTTATTCCACCCTGCCTCCTTTAAATCCTAGTACATAAACAACTGATTACTATGTTATCAGCTCTACCTCAGCACAAGATCTGACTGTGTTTTGAACTAATAACAATGACCACAGCTGCCAACAAGGACTCCTTTATGCTAAATGTCCATAATTTCTTAAGCTGTTGATCACAATGCCTGACATTATTTCCAGTATATTTCAAGGTAAAAAATTACTTTTGGGATTTAAATTTTTCCAGAGCTTTTATTCACACTCTTTTCTTAAATATTTTCAGTATAATTAAAAACTATATTAAAAAAAAGTCAAGCTACAAAACACATGATATAACTTGCGTCATCCTGATTTAGCTCACTGAAGCTTTTTCACTGGATTTGGCAAACAGTCCATTCATTGGAAGCTTGAACATTTAACTTCAGTCTCAACAGCCACCATCTAATAAAAAGACTAAATTTTGCATCCAAAATTTGACAATGACTGATGAAGTTTGCCTTTGAATTAGACTTGTCAAACTTGAGGACTCCAGAACTCTTAGGATACAAGAGTCCAAACAATCTTAACCCCATTTAATTTATGTAGCTAGCTGCATTAACATCAGCTTTCTGTCACTGATTTTCCTTATTTTTATCAAAGCCTTGTTCGTAAGCTCCATGGTTTCATCCCACTTGTTTTTCTCAGGGCTTGTGTATGTCACCAAGTTCTCAGTATACTGCAAGATTGACTTCAAAAACCTACAAGAAATAAAATCAAAGAAGAAAAAATCATTAAAGGATTTAAAAAGAAAAACAGTAACAACAAAGAAATCTCTGTGTCTGATTTAAAGCTGCTAATATCTCCAAATTTCCCTCAGGATGATCAATACATTAAGATTTCTTCTACTTCTGGAAGAGAACCACTCCCTCATTCTCACAGGAAGAAATGATGATTTTCAGAACTGCAATTAAACGCTGCCATAGAAAGAATGCAGTAACAAAATGTGTGATAGAATTTTTCCCAAATGGTTTCCTTTCCTTTCTCAGCCAAATGTTTCACCACGCCTACGGTCTCTACAGGATTTACATTACAGATCAAAAAGGAATGTGTACAACTTCCTGTTTTCATAAAGTAAATCTTATATACTCACTTTAGATACTGCTGATAATCAAAAGGGTTCTTCTTACAAACCAAATGAACGTTGACTAGTTCCAGAGTAATCAACACTAAGATGAGCCGCAACACCGGAGACAACAATTTAATGCTAGAAAGAAGCAAAAATATTTTAAATAATGAAACAAACTAAAACCAAATCAAAGAGAAATCATCAATATAAAAAATTCTTCAGACTTCTGCATCCATCCTAAACAGCTGGAGATTGCATAGTGGCACGGCAGAAGACTATGAAGTGTCCTTCGGCAAAGGGCAGAGCAAATATCAAAACTATGAATGAAGAGTAGAAATTATGAAACCTCAAGAAGAGGAGGGGAAAAAAAAAACCAAAAACCACATACAGTTAGAAACTTCACCATCACCCATTACTCCACAGATAACAAAGTGGAGTTCAACTGAATTGCAGATACGTATCGTTGTCAGTTTAAACTATGTTTCTTAAATAACATGGTTAACATTTTTAGGAACATAACCTGGCCAAGAATACAATATTTACAGTTTTCCCAGTTTTTTAAGTAGATTCATAAATCCCTAGAGAACACTTCTGAATCAGAACAAAATTAATGGAATGCTAAACAATCTCTCTTCTATTTTTAAAGATGCTGACCCAGGTATAATGATAAAAAGTGGCAGAATTAAAGTAGGCAGAGTCTTCAAATCAGTTTAACTTACTGCATTCAGATAAAACTTAAATGGCATTTATATGCTTAAATAGGAAAAGCTAGCAACTAAAAACCACAATCTAACATTTAAATGACACTTTTATTTGAAAGCCTATAATTTACAGTGAAGTTATCTAGCAATGCTAAAAATACCCATTAAATTATTCTCCAATTTGAGATTTTCTTGTTATTTCAATATTACTACATAATAGAAATCTGGGTTGGCACTTAACTCTGAAATAGTTAACAAGAACACATTAACACTGTTGCCTTTAAACTTCTAAGACAAACCACTGAAAGCTAGCAACAGCAGCATGCAGCCACTCTCTCATAAACCTAATCACAAAGTAAAGAAAATCCACCAGCCAACCTGTTCAACATTCGTAGATAGTTATGCCTCTGGCGAGAACGTAGAGTCTTGTTCATCCACTGTTCGTATCTCAACTCAGTGCTGGCAATAACTTGTTCAGACACTTGATGGCACTGCGTGCTTATTTTACGGAGTACCACCAATAGTTCCAGAACAGGTCGCGGAGAATAAAGTGTGCAAATACGCATATCACAAAGTTCAATCAACAGCCTCAAAAACAGGAAGGAATTGTTAATTTCAATCTTATGTTAGCTGGATTTAACATGAGATACATCTCATATTCGGTGTGGTTTGATTTTTGATGTTTTAACTCAGAAAACCTAGAAACAGATTACTCTTACCTCACGACTGAAAAAGAGCAAGGACCTATGTAGCAGGGCCAGTGACTGTTCTCTATCACTTCACTGAATATACACACAAAACTGCTGGTGATGAATATGTTTCCCATTTCAGACCAAAGAAATACAACCACAATAAACAAAACTGCCTGGCTGAAACGGTATACTGAACACATCAAATCACAGCAGGGCTGTGGTTGAAGCCTCCCACCATCGTTCAATTCACAATGAATTAACATCCACCATAATAAAACTCGCTCAAAAAAAAATGGTATTAATTAGTACTCCCATTAGTGTGTGGTCTTTCTGCTGGGCAGAACAAGCAGCAGACTTAACATTTTGTAAAATGCAGGTGGTGAGGCCATTGTTTTAATCAATACCATACCAGATTACGCTTCGTTAAAGCATCCAAATATCTTTCTGCTGTCATATTCTAACCTGCTAACCTAATGTGTCACACATCACTACACCCTGTTCTTACAGAAATGTTTCTTAATCTCCTTCATGCTCAAATTATCTCTGAGACAGAAAAATGTTAATGACTAAAAGTGATAAAGGCAGAAAATTCTAAAAATTGTTTTAACACTTTAGCAATTAGCCTTCTTTTTCATAAAAGAGAAAAGTGCAGACTGGTAGGAAACAGAAGGCACACATGCTACATAAGTAGAGCAACAGGTAAAAATCCTCTTTGCTCTACCCTGCCCACACTTAATGGGTCTGATTAGGAGAGTGTTGTTCCAACATAGTCATTCAGTCATGGGACTCTTAAGAAAGCACCAGTTAGAAGTCAAATTGTTTTGACCATTATTCCAAGTCAGATGTAATTGGAAATAACATACCTCCAAGACTGACAAGTATAACAAGATATCTTCTATTTCAAATCTTGACACTAAAGCGTGTAAGAACAGAATTATGTAGCGGCATGTTACTATTTTAAGTGCCATGCACACCTGTGACACCAAGCACATCAAAATGAATTCCTGATGCAGTTTTAGCCCACAAAACAGATTCAAAACAACTTAATCTAGTCAGTACATAAATGTTTAAAAATTTTGCTTCCCCAGTCTGAAAGAAAAATGGTTATTTTCTTCATGCTAATTTCCAAGTAAAATCTCTACTGTAATAATGTTCCAAATCTACGATGTCTCATCTTCATTTTGAAGAAGATGTTCAGCTGCATTCTTAAGATTTTTAGATTCAATCAGCAGCAACATTAGAAAACTGCATGCAATATCTCAAATATCATTCTAAAACCAGGGAAACGAATAACTTAGGTTTGAGAGTTCTTGTGTTCCGCTGCATGTAGAAGCCAACAGCGGGAACAGGGAGGACATCAAACTCACCTCTCTGTTAGGACACTGTTGATTGGATCATCTGAACTATAGCAATTCTGGGGCATATATTGCTGCAACTGAGATATAATTTCAGATATCATCAAAATTAAAGTACTAGCTTCAGCATTTCCTTCCAACCTTAAAAACAAAACAAAAAATAAGATTTGACATGATAAAACTATGTAGCACTTACTATTTCTCAAATGGCATAGATTAAAATGCAGATTTTTTGGATAGCAGTGTATTCAATGTCCACTCTCACTCTCTGATATTACGGTTCTTTTCCCTCCACCTTATAAGCATGATTTTCTTCCTCCAGCTAAATCCAACCTTTTCTCACTTTCAACAGTCTTCTGAACCCCTCAAATCTCTATTCAAAACCCTCCGTATCAAAATCCTGCAGCATATTGAGTATGTGCTAGATGTGTTGAATTTTCACCTCTCAGCTCTAAAGAAGTAAAATTACCTCCAGTGATACTATTAATGACTTCCTCCTTTTCAAATTACAAAAGAATGTTACATTCTTTTTCTAAGTAAAAATTCTTCCACTGATTTGGTTACCAAGCCCCTTTCAGAATAAGCAATTATTTTGTTTTACATCTCGTGAGCCATCTTTTTATTATTATTATTGTGATGGACTCAAGCTCTAGTTTAACTTTCTAACAGCCCCTTCAGCATCTCTTCAGAAATAGGAGTCACTAACTATATGTTTCAGATGTCTTCTCATTCCCTTCAAGTTAGCACACTCTTCACAGTTTTTATAGTATCTGTACTGATGTGTATAGCACAGATTAAGCTAAAAAGAACAAAGGGGTCTTCTCACAACCCCTCTAGTGTCTATCATCTTCCTAGTAAAGTATTTGAAGAGACATTTCACCATCTCTATTCCCATTCTTCATAACTATTTTGATAACTTTTTTTAATAGTGTATACATACCCTTTAATCATTTGAACATGTTCCTCAGGCACTGTTGGCAATTCAGGCCATAAGTGAATGCTCTTCATACATACCATCACCTCAGAAATGTATAATAACAAATGTTATGTAAAGTGCAGCTTTTGACAGACAGGACAACATATTTTAGTTTTAGAAAAAACTGCAACAGATAGTAAGTCACTTGTTCAGTCATAATCGTGTAAACCAACATCAATTGTTAAGGTTCATGTTAGGGCAAAAAGTCTTCATGTACACTTTCATGTTAAAACATCATCTGAATAAACTAATATACTATTCTTTATTCCATTTTTTTAATATAAAAAATTAACTAACATGACTTTTGAAACATAAGGTTTGAATGGCGTCAAAAATGAAAAACACCAAGTATGTCTACCACAATCTCAAATCAATAGAGGAACACCTTTAAACAGTTCAATAATTCATAAACTGATGAGCAGAGAACTACCACAACACTCAAAAGAAGATTTTGCTATGACAGAATCTTAATCAGCTAGCTTTCATACAATAAAAACCTTAGTTATAGCCTAATCCAAGATTCCTAGAGATATGACCAAACCAAGTGTTCCTGATCTAAGAAAGCACAAGATTACGTAAACTACAGAACAGCAAACATTCCAGTAAGAATAAAGCTATTCAGTGATCTAGAGCACAAACACAGCACCAACTACATCAACAGGAGTGTGCTTGATGACATCTCATTTTAGCATCTGTAAACTCCTGTAAATTCTAAAAGTCAAAAGTAAAAAGCTCATTAAAAAACAAGTAAGATTTTAACTTTTTAGGACAATCAAAGCATGAAGACAACAATTAGACCAGTTTTAAGGACTAACAATTTTAAGGACTGAAATGCTTTCAAAATTAGAAGTACTTACCTGTTTCTTGAGTCGGGAAATCGGATGAAATCGAGAACGGTAGCAACTTGCACAGTTCATCAGTGGTTTTATGACCACGTGTTCCTGATTTACAAAATCATAGACAATACACCACAGTTTCTTCAAACTGTCCTAATCATGTGCAGACCTAGACTTATACCTAATTTTATGCAAGCCACCTATCGTACTAAGTCAATAAAGACTTGTGAATGTCTGAGGGCTGAAAGCAGTCATCAGCACAGTGAGTGTTTAAAGCTTAATTTCTTTGACACATTTTAGCTATGAAACCTAGCAGCAGCTGATGGAAAAGCAACCAAGTATTGTCTCAATGTAGCAGCATGCAATATATCTTAGAAACTAAAAAGAGCTGCAACTAATAAACGGAAGATCTACCTCACAGGTTGCTGTATGATATTGAAAGAAGTAATCACAAATATTAAGAGGAAATTGGGGGGGAGCAAATATAATAATTGCTACTTTTGAGAAACATGTATTGCTAGACAAAGTGTGTTCACAAATTCACGGTATAGAGGGCGAATACAAATCACACCTCCCTTAGTGAGACACCATTATTTATAGTGTCTCAGAGAAAGAAAATCTGAGATACTACACACCTCAGTGGCTGAGCTACAGCTGTTCTATGTGGAAGGATATCTACGAGCTATGGGACACGTGAACAATCCAGCCTTTCCAGAGAACTTGGGCTGGGAGACATTGGAACTACAGAGAGCATAAACAACTTCAGGTGCAGGACAAGATACAGACGCCATTAATGACGCAGTTTTAATTTCTTGAAGAAGATGGGTGTGGACGTGTATGAAAGTACGTGAATGTGACTCGCAGTGTGGCCAATCATGTTGGACTATGGGTTGTTGTTTGCGATGTAGCTTATCAGCGTTTACCGGGCGTGGACAAGGGTTATAAATTACGCTGGAAACACGGAAATAAAGGTTCACTTGTTAGATCACATTGATTGTGTCAGTGGCCTCTTTCAGCTCCCGCAGTTCTACACACCTTTTGGCTAATTCAGCAGATAAACAGGCTAGGTACTGATACAAATTGACAAATAAAATTAAGTGGAATCATTGTAAATTATGGATCAACCATGTGAATGAGGAGTGGTTAAGCAAACAAATCAAGGTACATAAGAAAGGGTAATCTTTTGGAAAACTTTCTGTACTTATTTCATTACAAAACTAGAAAAAACTCACATACTTTCACAATTTTTTACTTGGAGGAATATTTCATTTCCACAAGAAGCTGCTGTCAAGAAAGATTCAGTCATAAGGCTCTCTAAAATCAGATTTGACATCCAAAACAACTGAAAAAAATATGAGAGCATAATATTGATCCCTACCTTAAAAGCACACATGTCCTCATCTGAGAACCTGCAGAGAAGGGTAATTGCAAATGCAACTAACTGATTAGCTACTTCTCTAGGAAACGCTTCTAGATCGATCTCTCCATGGCTTAAACGATCTCTTATACGTGGACCCTCCTGGTGGCTCAAGAAATCCCAAAGAAATTCCTGTGGAAACACACACCAAGTGTATAGAATTCTATGTGTATTCATATACAACAGAATATATTCAGCGTATAGAATACCTTTGAAAGGTAAGTATGCGATCATTTCTATAGGAAAGGGGCATTTAGTTGGTCTGAAAAGCAATGCAACTTACACTTGTGGGGAAAAAATAAAAAAAGAAGAAAAAAAGAAGTGCAACTCGTCCATTTGGGTAGCTTCTGAGGAAGTTCAAAACTAACATAATGCTATTTCGTGAGAGGTAACAACAGATTTCCTTCAGCTTTGTGCCCCAAGACCTCCACAGTCCTACTGCCTCTGGCAATACGACGATAAACTCAGGTGTCTCCTACAGTCTCAAAAGGCCTCTAAACTCAACACTGCTAGTCTTCATGTTCACTGTCTGTTCGGGTGGCAAGATGCAGGGTGTGCTCTGGTAGGTTTGCAGCTACAGTTTTGTGCCATCTGCCCAGGTAGTATAAGATGTGTCCCAGAAGCAATCAGAATTGAATTTTAACTTTCCCTGTATGAGGCATCAGGGTTTTTTCTGCTCTGTTCAGCTGATCTTCAGAAGTCTAAAGAAAAATACCTGAGACTTCTATGTTTCAGAAAGAAAGACAGTCTTATAACCTGGCCCACTATATCTTGTCATGTACTACTTCGTATCCTTCACAATGAAAAGGGTAACCAGCTTCTGGTTCTAAGCTGCTGGAGATGAGCTATGTGAAATAAAAGAGTATAAGGCATGAACATGAATATATTACTAAATTTAAAAACAAACAAAAGAAAACAACAACAAGAAAAAAAATAACAAAGCCAAAACTGAATGACAAAACTTTCAAAACACTTGCCATGGCAGGTTCCTCAAGAACTGCAGGAAGCTGGTTGACTTCCTCATTATCTAAACGCTTTGCCAGCATCTAGAAAAAAGTTATTTGAATAGAAACATACCATTGAAAGCCAAACAATCAAAGAAAAAACACCAACTAAAGTAATCAGTTTCCCTAATTTTAAGCAATTACTTCTGCCATTCAAGAATCAAGGTGCCTAATTATTACTGACAGACAATTTGAGACAATTCAAGAGTTTTGTAAATTGAGGATTTCTGCTTGTGACGTTTACTTGTATTTATTTTGAATAACTGAATCTAGGAAAAATGACAGAATGTTTGTTTCTGGGACATGAAGAATTTTAAGATAAAAATACTCAGAAGAAATTACAGTCTGTTCATTAAAATTTGTATTTATTTTGATATTTTCTGGGGATTGTGAATTTAAAATTTAAAATTCCATCATCTTCTATTTGGAAAAATCTAGAAATAACGTCTTATCCAACACAATAAAGTGCTTTCTGGTCTCTAGTAATGGGAAACATGCATGCGCTTAAATTCTGACCTTGATAGATATTATAAAATAAGAACAAAAAAAAAAATCACAAGTACCTCATCGAAAGTGGTGTAGAGAGCAGAAGACTAGAACAAAAGACAATTAATATTTGATTTTCAAATGAAAATTATTAACTAGACATGTATACCAAACTTATATTTATTCATTTGCATGAGAGAGCAGAGGTGCGTGGAGAGCAAAAACCCCACGCTTAATGAAAAAACGGACTCTTGGATTTTGTGCCAGATATTTTAAAATAAATGTAACATGATCTACTTTCCACCCTAAACTACTGTTTCTGAACACTAACCTTCAAGTACTTTTTCAGATCTCTTTTACTGGCAGACATCTTTACAAAAAGGTAAGAGGCATTCATGAAACTCTACTGGAAATAATTTTCCACAATTGATTGAAAAATTTTAGGATGAAATCTGCAAATGTTCAGACACTACACTGCTATAATAACTATTTTGCAAATATTGTTACCACTAACTCATAACTGAATTTAGACAGAAATTTTACCTCAGCTGTTAGCAATCGATTTGGACATTTATTAGTTGTAGTGAAGAGCAATCTAAGTCCAACTTCCAGCTGAGGAAGTAAGAGAATCATACAGTCAGCAAACCTGAAAAAAATAACAGAGTTACCCAGAGTTTTTCCCCCTTATAAATACAATCCAAATGAAAGTTAGAGCCATTGCAGAGTTACACTCTCAGACCAAAATTCCTTTGTAATGCACTTCGTAAATAAAAAATAAATGACTACCTGTGCCAAACAGAAGCTGACCACCGAATTCAAATCAGCTCAGAGAAGAGAATAACTTACAAAAAGCTGGAGCATGGGAGAGGAAAACAAAGCAATGTACTTTTTTCTTTTCAAACTAAAAATCTTAATATCTGAAGATTTGTTTCCACCTGCTTCGTAAAACTCTCCTTTTTAGCTACATCTGCAATAGTTCTTTTTAAGTTTCTAAATATAGTTTACAATCCTCATTGGCACAAAACAAAAGTACTAAGTCCACAAACTTTCTGAGATACCACCATAACAATGCATAATTATATGTTGTTATGCAACAGATTTAGCAAAAACCTTTGGAATCTACAAATGCTGCTATTTAATATATTCTTTTTATATTCTATTTAAAAAATAATTATGAAAAAAAAAAATAATCGACTGTTACCTGCTTTGCTTGAAAGCTGTTAAAGCAGCCATCCAAAATGGTAACATTGTTTTTAATACAAAACTGGACAATTTTACTAGGTCTTCAGCTATGGAAAGTGTTTCATGATTAAGATCTGCAAGTTAGCAAAACAACATTGATAAACTACACACATTCTATGGTTTACTAATTAATTCTCAATATTTCATTGAAAATACAAGATTATTTCAGCCTTTTTAAAGGGAGACTTAAAAGTGATCAAATTTATTTGAACTATGCAAGTACAATGGTAGTCATGTTTAAGATCAGAAATTGAGTTTGTAGGATTGCCTTTTTAGTGATAATATAAAATTACAGAGTAGAAACAGTTAAAAAGTCGTGGCTGCTTTTTACTGATACTAAAATATAACACAGCAACTGGAGACAGCTTCTGTTGAGTTGTTCTCCACCTACTCCAAATACTTTTAAAAAGTGTAATATATATTAATCACTTCAATTTAGTAAGAATCAGTACAGTATTATGAACATTTGAACATGAGCACATTGTTCCGACTACCAATTTTCTGTGCTGACATTGAGCATGATTAATTAACACTTCATACTTCAATGCTACCATATAATGAAATTCACACTATAAATATCTTACCCAAGAGAAAGCTTAAAATGGTAAGTGCAACTTGATTGTAGTAGGTGTTTTTTCAAAGCAAATCAACAGCTATGGGATTTATACTACGTGATAATTAGAGTGTACTTGCTTGATTTGGTTCCCAAAAGCCCTGTCTCAGTTCTGTGAACAGACATTCCCCTGGCAAACTGATTTTAGAATCATAGAATGTATTGGGTCGGAAGGGCCCACTAAAGGCCATCTAGTCCAGCCCCCCTACAATAAGCACAGACATCTCTAACTTGGTCAGGTTGCTCAGAGCCCCATCAAGCCTGACCTTGAATGTCTCCAGGGATAGGGCTTCCACTACCTCTCTGGGCAACCTGTTTCAGTGATCCACCACTCTCATACTAAAGAACTTTTTCCTAATGTCCAACCTAAATCTACCCTTTTCTAGCTTAAAACGATTACCCCTCACCCTATTGCTACAAACCCTTGTGAACAGTCCCTCCCCAGCCTTCTTATAGGCCCCTTTCAGGTATTGGAAGGTCGCTATACGGTCCCCCCAGCCTTCTCTTCTCCAGGCTGAACAACCACAACCCTCTCAGCCTGTCCTCACAGGAGAGGTGCTCTAGCCTCTGATCATTTTCGTGGCCCTCCTCTGGACCCACTCCAACAGGTCCACATCCTTCTTGTGTTGGGGGCTCCATAGTTGGACGCAGTACTCCAGGTGGGGTCTCATCAGAGCAGAGTAGAAGGGCAGAATCACCTCTCTCGATCTGCTGGCCATGCTTCTTTTGATGCAGCCCAGGATGTGACTGGCCTTCTGGGCTGCAATTCTCCACTAGTGGCTCACGTCCAGCTTTTCATCCACCAGTACCCCCAAGCCTTTTTCCACAGGGCTGCTCTCTAGCATGTCTTCTCCCAGCCTGTATTGATACCGGCAGGTGCCCCACGCCCAGGGGAAGAGC